CATCGAAAAAGTTGTTTTAATGTTAAAAACCATCTAATTGATCATCTCGACATCGAGATATATGAATATGCAAGAAAAAAACAAAAAACAATTTTGTGCCATAAAAAAAAATGCATCTCACAACCCATTATCTAGACCGTCCATTTTCAAAAAATTTCTATATTTATAGATCTACTTGATTTTAACCATTTATAGAATTTAAAATTTTATAATTGGATATAAAAATAAATTTTCAGATAATCCTAAGAATTTTTTATACCTAATTACTTGTTATGATAAAATTTGGAGGTACACCTTAATTGGATTGTTTAAAGTTGCAACCTTATAGAAACCATACCTTTTTTTTGTGGCTTCTTTACCGTGCCAAAGAGATGTGCCAAAAATTCTGAAAATTGGGGAAAAGCCCAAGGCCCCAAAAATAGGATGAGCAAAGCATTTCCTTGGAAAAAGTGCCAATTGAGTCGCATCTACATGACTCGGGTCTAGGTCTAAATTAAAAAATGGACTATATACAGATCGAACAGGGAAAGCTCAAAATGACTCTCTGACTCTCTCTCTTCGGTCCATTCATATTATATTATTATTATTATTTTATTGAAATTGTTTACAAGGAGACAATTTATTTTTTTAATCAAAACGAGTAGTTGTAAGAGTATCGTCGGATCCTTCCTGAAACATAACCTAGAACCAGGTCTCCATAATCTAAGCGAACTTGAAACATGCCATTGGGAAGTGATTAAGTAATTAAACCTTCATGAATTAATTTTTGTTCTTTCATTCCAAGTAACCCCCTTCCTTGATGTATCAACTAATAGAGGATAAGCGGCATTAGCCAACTTGTCTCTCCTCTCTTTTTTAATAAAATAAATAGGAGGTTACGGATAAAATTCGTATACTAGAAGGATCACCATATATAACATAAAATATCTCCTCCAATTCCTTCTTGTCGAGCCTCTCGATCTGTCATTATACCTCGAGAAGTAGAAAGAATTACAACCCTTATTCCACCTGAAATCCTAGGAACTCGTTGATAGTTGGAATAGATTCGTAGACCGGATCTGCTTATATGTTTTAAAGTCTTTCTATATGTTACACAAAGTTCAAAAAAAACATTATAGATTTCATGATTCACCCAAGCCATGCAATTTGACATTTAATAAATGAGAATAATTGTGACCTCCATGTACAAAAGATAAAGAAAAAATTTTATATAAGTATGCACAACCTTTAACCTTATATCGTTTCAGATGTTTGGGGGGAATGATGCAACCTTATACTGTAGAACTACGAATGCACCTCAAAAATCCATCGGAAAAAGTAGTTTTAATGTTGAAAAACCCTTTGATTGATCATCTCGATATCGAGATGTATGACCATGAAAAATAAAAAGATTCTAAGTCTCAAAAATAGTGCATTTTACAACATACACCGTCCATTTTCAATATTTTCATACGTTTATAGATCTACTTGATTTAACCATTTTTTAAATTTAAAAATCTATAATTAGACATAAAAATAGATTTTGAGATAATACTAAAAACATTTTACATCAAAATTATATATCATGATAAAATTTGGAGGTGCACCTTACCTTTACAGCTACGGATGCATATGAATGCCAACTGCACCCAAAGATAAATAGTATATTTATAGATAATCCCTATTTTATTTTATATATGGGTGAGGTTTGCATAACTTAGCAATTTTAAACAATCAAAGCAAGGCATACCTCCAAATTTTATCATAAGATGCAATTTTGGTGGAAATTTTTTTAGGATACCCCGAGTATCTGTTTTTATCTCTAATTATAAAATTTTACACACAAAGTAGATTTGTAAACACATGGAAATTTTGAAAATGTGCGGTCTAGGTAATATGTAGTAAAACCAGTGCTCACAAAACCGGCCGATCTAACCGTTAACCTAACCGCCTGGTTAGATCGGAATCGGTTACTAGCGGCTTTCGGTTTTAGGCGGTTTTAGTGATCAACCGGTATTTAAAAAAACAAATTCAAAAAAATGTATATATATTCTCAAAAATAAGGAATTTGATTTGTAATGCATTTTTAAATGTTCTTTACATTATGGTAAAAATTAAAAATTGTTTTGGTCATTAATACTCACTTTTATATTTTCCCATTTTTTTTAGAAAATTTAAAAAATAGCCCCTGAAAAATATAAAATGGGTTAAAATCCATTTTTTTCATTAATTTTCAATTTCATTTGGATGTGTTTTGTTTTAATTATTCCTTATATGCTTTTCGTATCTTAGTAGATTTTTTTTGTATATTTTTTATTTTTCTCTACACTTTTTTGACCGCCCGGGACTTGTCCGGTTAGAGGAGTTGAATCAGCCGGTTTACGGGTTAGGCCAGTTAAACCACTTCCAGACCCATGTCCGGTTCACCTTCCGATTCAATTTTACGAACATTGAGTAAAATGTACTATGTTTTGGACTTGAAATCATTTTTTCTTTTCTTTATATCCATATATCTCGATGTCTTTTCCAATGGAATTTTGAAGTGCACCTTAATTTTACATTTTAATATGTCAAACCTCCTATAAACTTGTTTTTTATACATAAGAGAGAGATAGAGTGTGCCTCTTAAAGGCATTTAAGAGAAAAAGATAGCGTGCCTCATGAGGGAAAGGTTTTTATACTTCCTCTACAACATAGAAGAACTATCCTCCCCTTACCATCCAGCCGTCTAATTTTGATCAAGAGAGCCACTCACCTTAAGTCCGACGTCTTAAAGTAATTTTTTTTTAGTTTTTTTATACAAATTGTATGAATATGAAATTTGGTACGTTCCATCTTCTCATTGGGGCGCACCTATAAAAAGTATTAAAAATAATTTTTCAATAAAATATAATGATCAAAATACCCCTTGAATCTTTCAAGGGTATTTTGATCATTTTATTTTATTAGAAATATGATTTTTATATTTTTTGCTAGTGCGAGTATAATAGAGGATTGGATATCCAAAATTTGGTGTCAAAATAAATGATAGAAAAAAATTAAAAATAAAATAGTGTAAAGAAGTGACATTGTGATTGAGACAATCTTAACCCTCTATTCAGAATGGATGGGATAAGGGGAAGTATATAAGTTTTATAATGTAGGAGAAACAAAAACTTGCCTGCCTTATAAATGCATCCAAAAGAGACTGCATTTAGAGTGGTTTTAGGCATGGTGAATGAGGTTGGGAGGAAGACAAAACATGCCCATTATAAAAGAGAGAGATAGAGAATGCCTGACCATAAGGGCGAGGAAAGAAGCAAAACAAAAAGAGTATCAATCAAATTGAAAAAGATTGGAAAGAAGACTAGAAAGATAAAACTGATACAATCATGTTTTTATTTTTAATATTGTGATTGGAAAGAAGACTAGAAAAATAAAACTGGTACAGTCATGTTTTTATTTTTAATAATTTGTTTTTCATTCACGATTTCTTACTATGATATGTAGTTTTTCGATGGAAGACTACAACCTAGGCTGTTTTATGGTTGGGGGATTGCAAAGATAGAAATTATTTTGTTAGATGTACCCTATGTTTATCGAATATGTTTTCTTTTATTTACAGATTTTTTAATTGACTCTGAAAATCAGCTTTGAAGCAAATTACAATGTTGGTTTGTGATAGAAATTGACAATCAAGTATTTTTTTAAAAAAATGTGTTTATCATTTATGGAATTTTATTATAACATGTAGTTTTTAGATAAAAGAATAGTTGAACCATCGATAAAACAATGATTCAAATCAGCATTTTGCCCGTATTATATAATGGACCCTATGGGATCAAGTCCAATTACTTGGTCGGGTTCAGGCCCGCATAGTGCAGTCCAAGCAAAAGAATCAGATGGGACCACACGCCGGCGGGGCGGGGCGGGGCAGGTAGGGTGGGGTGGGGTGTGACCACGCCCTGGGTTACACCATTGAGAAACAGTTTGGTTACCTTTGAGAAACAGTTTGGTTCCAATAAAAGGAGAAACAGTTTGGTTACACCATTGAGAAACAGTTTGGTTCCAATAAAAGGAGAAACAGTTTGGTTACCTTTCCCCACGAAAGAAATAGACGTTCTGATAAACAAAGAAATGGTTTGGTGAATTGTCCATTTGAGCTACCAAATGATGCTCTTGGACAAGAGATGCAAACAAAAAGGAAAAACACAAAGATGATAATCGACAAAAGCAATGAATAGATTCCCCCACGTTGGGTATTACACTAACACCCCACCTTCAATCACAATATCAGATGATATGGGTCAGGTATTTCCTCACAGAAACAAATAACCAAGAAAAATACATCTCTTTCTGATGAAAACTATACCAAGAAAAGGCATCTCCTCACATACACTAAACAGCCACCAACAATCACAATATCAGATGATATGGGTCAGGCATTTCCTCACACAAACAATTAACCAAGAAAGAGACGTCTCTTCTGGTGAAAACTTAACCAAGAAAAAGGCATCTCCTCATATAAACTAAACCACAATACATTCATGAGTGCAGTTTGTATAGAGCCTAGGCTCTAAACAATCAAATTAGAGCCCACCTTCAAATAGTGTCAAGAAATGATGTTTCAACATTGGAAACCTTTATGATAGCCTTAAAATATATTTACATCTTTAATTATAAGATTCAAAGCTTCAAAAATAGGTAGATTGAGCCTATCTATGAAAACTTGAAAATCTTGAAAATTGACAATCCAAAAATGCGCTACAAGATGCACTATTTTCAAAACTTGAAATCCATTTTTTTTTTTTCATGCCCATGCATCTTGATATGGAGATGATCAATTTGAGAATATTTGGGCATCAAAACAACCTCTTCTGAAAATTTTGAGGTGGGCTCTAATTTAATTGTTTAGAGCCTCGGCTCTATATAAGCTTTTTCCTACGTTTTATTCCCTCTCCTATTTGTTATGCAACCAGAAAACTTTCCCAAGCTTACATTGTCCCTAACCCACCACCATATTTGAGTAAAAAGCAAGCCAATATCCAAGTGGACACACCTGCAATTTAATTCAATGATTTTGGCAGCATTTTATATGAAGGCTTAGAAGACAAGCGAGCTCATGGGAGCAAGGGACATGAAATTTGTGGGTTTACACAAATAACTTGAAATATACAGAGTATGATAATTTTACTGTCATAAGATGCCAGATCCATTAAATTGGGTCCTAGACTCGATTTTGGCACACTGACGCTTGCAATATCTTCATCATCTAAGCTTCCAAAAGTTGTTGCTAGCTAGGAGTAACTATCTGCAGACACAAAACAGGACCATATATTAAACACCCGAAAGTTAATTTAAGAAGGGAAAGACTTATTTTATAACATTATATTATCACAAAATCCCACATGGAGTTATCAACTATGCCTCAGCACAAGTACAAAATGATGGACTTGCGGGGAGAAGGGCTTATTTCTCCTATTTTGTTTCCACAAATGGACCAGTTGAGACCACACGACACACAGTATAGTACTGGTATACTCCATGAATGCCGTATGCTCTCGTTTAGGATAAAACTGTCCCAATCAACTTTAGCCCAAGTGCTGTAAATATTGAAAGACCCATATATGCAACATAAATTTTCATTTCTTAATCAACTTATGGGGTTATGGTATTCACTTTTTCCTTTCTCTATTTTTTTATTTAGCAAGTATGAAATTCAAACCCCTGACCAAATGTTGACATGCACAGCTTCAAGGCCAAACACAAGTGAATCTAAAGCTCCTATACTCCCCCCCCCTGAAAGTGGATACAAAGACGACAGCAAATTTTCAAGCCAAAAAACAAGGCAAAATGGACACCTTCAACAAGCCACTTGCTAAAAACCAATCTAAGTGAATAAGTTACAATCTTTTTACATAACAATTACAATAATTTCTAGCCTTGTATAATCACTGTAAATAAACTCAAATACCAACCCCTTATGGAGCAATTACAAACAAAGCAAGACTAACTTATGAATTACACTTTCATAGCACAAATTACATAAACTATGTCCCAAAGCTTAAATACATCATGCAACTAATCTAAACAAAATTCTAAAGAATAAAATCAACTTAACAGGGAATAAGAATGCCAAATTGAAATAGGGGAGCCATGTTTCGAACCCTTTGTGCCGGGCCCACGCAATCGGGTCCTATAAGGACTTATTTTGTCCCTTCGAATTGTACAAAAGTGGTTCAATCTCACAAGAGTGTCTAATCCAAATGGGAAGAAATTACATACCTTAAAATCACTTCTTAAGATCTCGACACACTGGCATTATCATCTAAAACAAAATGCAAAAGATTTGAATCGAATCGGATAAAGAACAAGAGAGTTATGGCCAAACTACACACGATGGTCCCTCGGACCACCAAAACAATCTTGTATGGAAAGATTATGAACTCCCATAGGTAAAAACGTAATGAAAAAGTTTTGAAAGTGGAGTGACACTCTGAGACTAAATTATTTGATGGGTTTGAAGCAAAGTAATTAATGGATACTATGCACGATCACGGATTCTCAAGTATATAGGTTATAACTCATGAAGGGCCACACTATGAATAAGCCTGATGAAAAAGATGATCAAATGAGGATTCTAAGATCAATGAAACTTTTCTAAATTAAAAACCCCCGCAACTATAGATGCCAAGGATATGATCTTATGAGAAAACAAAATTCAATAGAGTTTACCCCCACACTATGGACTTAAGCATAAGAAAGGAGGACCACCATTAATGGAACTCTAAAATATCTCTCTTCAATTTTCTCTCACAAAACCTTAGAAGAAGGGGAGCAACAATTTTCCAAAATGGTTAAAGAGTTGAGATTGTTAGGGTTTGAAATTTCATGATGTGCTTTTATAACATGGGTGTAACTTTGGATTCAATCAACACCCTTGATGCACTAATCCAAAGGCACATGAAAGGCTAATGTACCTAGCCACCCATCCCCATCCAACCACTAGGATGAAGGCATGGGAATTCACACCATTATCACTCACCCTAACCCTAAGTTATGTCACTTTACCATTTTGTCCTTGGCCCATGTTTTTGTTCCAATTGTATCCAATATGGCCTTACAAAAATACCCGTAGTTTTTTTTAATAATGTATTAAAGTAGATAACCACAAAAGCTAAAAGGCAAAGAAGTAATTGGCAAAGCTCACATGTGGAGATATTCTTCTTTATCAAAACCAATCACTTTGTAGATCTAAAATTTCAAACCAATCAATTTAAAGATAATATCCCCTTCACACATGCGTGTGAAAATATTTTTCAACTCAAATTTGAAAATGCATTTTCTCTTTAATATCAAATATATTAATTAATTAAAATTCACACATGCCATGCATGACCCATGTGTGAGTTAATTAAGACATGTGACAAAAAGGAGGCCTTAATTTATAACATTATATAACAAAATATAACAAGACACCATAACACAACCCCTTATAAACAAACAACCAAATGCCAATCTAGTCCCCTACATAGGGATCAGTGCCCAGCTGGGCGGTGATCCTAAAGTGAGGTGTGGAGTGCCATGTGGCAGCCCTATGGCCACTCGGACGCCACATGGCACTACCAGGTCAGGACTAAAGTGGAATTTGAGCAAAATAATATAAAAACCCTTATTTTTTAGCAAATAAAATTCCGAAAAAGTCTCTACAATTCACAATAAATATTTAAAGTATTTTTGAGCAATTATTAGGTTTTTCGCATCATTATAAAATTGGACAAAAAGTATAGTGAGATCTCGGGCTAATAACTATAGGTATCGGAGTACTCCATTAAGCTAGTCCCGAATGATGTTCTGCCTAGTCTCAGATCGACCCAATAGACCTATGTTCCACAATCTAAAGCAGGGACACATAATTGGCCATATCAAAGCCGTTGAGCCAGAACTTCCGATCATTCCACTCTCGATGGATTACAGGTGTACCCCTGTGGGACCTGATCCAACTCAATTACAGGGGTCCTCTCAAAGCACATGTACACTGGATCTTCCAAACTCGGATAATGCATTTGGAAGAGTGGCTTCCCATACGAAATGAAAATACACACGCCATGCAATGGTCTCGTGTCAGGATATGGACTTGTGTCCCATAAGTCTTGACCATTCCATACAGGACGAATACTCAATAAGTACTCGGGTTCTATTTTTCTCATTTGGATTCTCCAAGCCCTGGCCGATTGCAGCTAAACATGAGGCTAACCTATAAAATCCTGACTAGGAGACCCTCACACCTCCTTGAGAAATTGCTTTCTCAACACGTGAACTCTCGATGCCTCATGCGTACTCGGGATAAAAGAATCTGGGCTCTATTTCGCAAGATACCAAGATTTCAATCTCTTAATCGCTCCCACTGAATGAGAGACAATTGGAATTTAGGCTATATTTCCAACATTCTCCCACTTGGCTTTTGAGGCTTGAAGTCGTATATATCTCTCTCTCATTATCGTTCACAATAAATCAAAGCATGCATACTTATCCATGGATTTATCATTCATAAGCAATAGACAAAGTAATAACAACTATGTCAACCTCCTTAAACCCATCCCAAGCACATGCCTCATAAAATCATTTGCCCCCAATCCTTTAGTTAATGGATATGCATGCACAGCGTCAGATGGAATGTAACCAACTTCTACTTCACCAGCTGCTATCTCTTCTCTTACTCTATGATATTGAGCTTTAATGTACCTTAACTTGCGGTGGAACCTTGGTTCAACTGCCATTGCTATTGCAGCTTGATTGTCACACATGATTCTAATAGTTCCATCTTTTAGAGGGTTGAAGTTAAGATGATTCAAGAACTTCTTAATCCAAATGGCTTCTAAAGTTGCGGAACTTAAAACCATATACTCGGCTTCCATTGTAGATAGGGCTACAATGTCTTGCTTCTTGGTGCGCCAAGAAATGGCACCACCCCCAAAAAGAAATAGATAACCCGAAGTGGATCTCGAGTCATCCGGGTCTCCTTGATAGTCGGAGTCTGCGTATCCCAAAACTTTAAGCTCACTCACAATGCCATAGGTTAATCCATAATCAAATGTTCCTTTCAAATATCATGATTCTTTTCACGGTTTTCCAATGTTCTAATCCAGGATCACTTTGGAATCGACCAATCAAGCTTTGAGCAAAAGCTAGATCGGGTCTAGTTCCCATGGTTAAATACATTAGTGATCCTACGACACTCCGATACAGGATCCTTTCCATCTCATTTCTCTCATGATCATTGTTTGGTTTCATATTGATATTTAATTTTTCTCTCCTTTCCACAAGTGTATCTATAGGCTTAGATTCACTCATACCAAATCTCTTAAGAACTTTCTTGCAATATGCAGATTGAGATAATTGAATAGTACGGGCTGCTCTATCTCTTATAATATGAATCCCTAACACATATGAAGCCTCTCCCATATCTTTCATATCAAAATTACTTGATAGCATTGCCTTTGTGTCCCTTATATGGTCTAGGGTGCTACTAGCTATTAGAATGTCATCCACATATAAAGTCATGAAAGTAATGTCAGTCCCATTGGTCTTATGGTGTACACAATGGTCATCCTCATTTGATTTGAATCCATATCTAATCAGGGTTTGGTAGAACTTGAAGAACCATCTTCTTGAAGCTTGTTTGCGACCATAAAGTGATTTGTTAAGTTTGTACACGATCTTTTCCTTTCCTTTCATAACAAAACCCTCGGGTTGGTTTATGTATATATCATCTTCTAGGTCACCATTTAAGAAGGCGGTTTTCACATCCATTTGATGCAATTCTAGGTCAAGGTAGGCTGCTATGGATATGATCATCGAAATTGAAGACATTTTGGCAACAGGTGAGTAGGTGTCAAAAAAATCTACCCCTTCCTTTTGAGTAAAACCTTTTGCTACAAGTCTTGCCTTATATTTTTAAATATGCCCTTCGGAGTTAAGTTTCTTTTTTAATATCCACTTACATCCAATGGGATCTAAGGTTACGTGGTAATCGGACTAACTCCCATATATGGTTCTTTATGATTGAATTTATCTCATCTCGCATGGCTTCCTTCCATAACTTATTATCCGGACAGGACATAGCATGTAGGAAATAATAAGGTTCATCATCGGGTTCTTCACTAATCCTCTCATAGTCCTCCCCAAGGTAAGTGAAAACAGGTAGGTGGTCTCTTTATTCTCTCACTTCACCTATTCTCTCACTTCACCTAAGTGGGATGGTTTCAATTTCTTTGTTAGGCTGAAGCTCATGGAAGTCTACTCTCTTTT